GAGGTTTTCTTAATACGCAAGTGCGCTTCTTTGCTATGCAGCTTGCCTTACTAATGGCAGCTAGCCTCTTATAAAAGCAATTAATTAAATAAGTTTGCTAGTCCTATGACGTGGAAAATGTTGACTCTGGTGTCTTGATATATACACGGATAATAAATAAGCCCCAGCACATGCAACTAGGACATCATTTCCACTTGAACTACCACCGGTGCCACCATTAGTAGGGGGCAAATATGCATGGCAGAGAAGCACACTTGTGCATTAGGAAAATCTATTAGTGAAAGAAACTACATCGCATTGAAAGACCGGTAGTTTTATTGAAAAAGAGAGGGAAGAAAATTTAGAAATTGAGTTAAAACCTTTTTTTCAGTAATCTTGGCATGTTTTTCTTCTTTTATTGCTGTAGCAAAATGGTTAAGGACCATGGTGGGACGCACCACCACTGGTCCGACAGACAATTTATTTTAGGGAACTGAAAGTTTTGAGCACCCAATGTTCCTAACTTTCTTCTCTTATTTCAGGCTCAAAATGGCATTGTGTGAAGCCTCAATTGCTGTCACGTTAATTAACTTTCAGCCTTGAACTACTTCTGCGAGGTCATAGTGGCTGCAAACTCAGTTTTACAACAGCGCAAAGGTTTCATACAGTGCAGGATACCAAGATTGCTCTAATAGGACCATCGTCAGAGAACGGGGCGTTTCACAGTTTTATACACAAGCACCTGCAGATTCCTTTCAGTATAACATTATGCACCCACTTGAAATGTACAAATGGTTATTTTGTAGTTGTGATGACTTCATCAACATCGTCAGCCTAACTATGCCGACAGGAGGGCAAAGACTGCTCCCCTGTTTCGCCAATCAACCTGGTCCTGTGTTTCCTGCTGCCACATTTTACCCGCCAACTTCTTAATCGCACCTACCCACCCAATTTTCTGTCTTCCTCTCACCCGGTTCCCTTTTCTTAGAATCGAGTCAGTTACCCTTAATGACCACTAGTTATCCTGCCTACATGCCCGGCCCAGTTCAGGGTTCGCACAGGTTTACAAAGTGAAAATTCAAGAGCATTCAAGAACTTTTCAGGACCTGTTGCAGGTTTTTCAGGGTCTTGAAGGGGCATGCAAACTTGGAACGTTTTCCTCTAAAATCTTCAAATATAGCTAGTTGTATTGTACTTACGTAAGTGAACATCGCAATGGTAACAAAACATCTAGTTGTCTTGATAGGTTCTCAAAAACACACTGAATGCTTATAAGAGTGGCTGAGATCATAAGAATGATTGAGATAGCATTCATGGCTACGCCACATCAACAAACTGAATTTTTTTTTCCTAGTGCAGTTCTTCAAAACAGAACTATGTGCACTCACGTTACATTGCTGTTTATGAACTGGGGAGTTTGCAGGTCGACACTAATCAACCACATTAAGGAGGTTGAAATGTCAATCTGGTAGTGCACTGCTCAAGAAATTCCAGGATTTTCAAGGATGAGGAAAAAGTCCAGGACTTTCAAGGGCCTTCAAAACTTGTTTTTCACATTCCAAGAATTTTCAAAGATTTCAAGGACCTGTACGCACCCTGCTTCTTGTTCTTGATTTCAATTAAGATATCTTTAACACCCATTTGTTTCCTGATCCAGACTGCTTTCTTCTTGTCTCTTAAGGTTTCCTGTCCATCGTTCGCGGCGTCGTCCTCAATTTAAGCTAAACCCTTTTTCTAAGCCTCCAGGTTTCTGCTCCGTAAGTAAGTACCGGCAAGGTGCAACTGTTATATACATTTCTCTTGAAGGACAGTGGCAGATTATCATTCATGATTTGAGAATGCTTGTCGAATGTGCTACACCCCATCCCCGTTTTTCTAGACATTCCACTCTCATGGTTCAGCTCCACGGTTACTACATGTCCTAAGTAGACATACTAATTGACAACTTTCAGCGTCTCTCTACCTATAGCGAAGTGCTGTTTTCTGCCGCGACTTGGACATTAGTTTAATGCATATTATTTTCAGATGATGAATCCATGATGTAGTAAACAAAGAGCTAATGTGTTACCTAACTAGGTTGTAATGGCTTGTGGCATGCTGTGCCTATAGTAAGTGCGTCTCACGATAACTTTAATTCCCATAAAGGGGAAGAAAGAAAGCATTCATGTTTTCGGGCAACTCTTGAGGTCCTCAGAGAGTCCGAAAATTTCAAATGCTGACTAATCGGGGCAGCAGTGGTAGGAGGTAATACTACTGCTGCCTACAGAGCCTCGACTGGCAAGACATTGCCAGGCAGCTGCACCATTCGTATAATTAGAAGTATTGATCGCTATTGTCCAAGCTGTCATACAGAGCTGGCAGAGAGCAGTATTTCACAAGTGGTGCTGAAAGCATATGTTCATGAAGAAAGAAGTACTTTAAAAAGTGTATTTTCATGTACAATGAGACTGTTAGTGCCGTGGTTGTATGTCAATAGAACATGTGGCATGATAATAAACTTAATTCTGTTCTGCTGCAACAACTTGAAGAGGCCTGGTGGTTCCAATGTTGGGTCCACTGTGATGTTGAAGTTGCTAAAGCGTCAGAGCCATAAAATCGCATAGGTGAGAGCATCTGATCAAGGATGGCTGTGTAGTTTCGCCATATCAACAGCCAAAACACGGTCGACACTGCAACTTACAACAAAGTCTGCAATAAATGCAAGTACGGAAGAACCACAGACTGCTATTGCTTCTTACGGATGACTTCAAATACATATCCCAATACAAACAAGTTAATATTGCAACACAGCTAGCAGGCTTCTATTTTGAGTATGTGCTATACCACAAACACAGAATGAACAAAATCGTTTGACATAATAAATTAGAAAACTAACACCCAGATCAACATTAATGAAGTAAAGGGCAAGCTATTTGATCTCTTACATTTAAGATACATAAATGATGAAAATGTACAGCTAACCACTGCTTAGCACTTCTAACTTGGCAAAAAGAATCGTATCAAGACCCATTTAGTTCAGTCCGGCCGCAAACAAATGAGAATATAGGTTTTTTTTTCCCCAAATGTATTGTTTGAAATAGCCTGGTGTTTATCCTAACACAATGCATCTATGACAAAAACACATGTAAGAACAGCTGCAGAGCTCACAACTCTAAATGAGGATGCACAATCAAGCTCAGAGGCATTTAAATTAGTCAAATGAGCCAAAAGTTCGCTGCTTCATTTTGGCTATACAGAATTGGAAGCTAATCTTGTTTGCACAAAACTATGTATGAATCAATTAAACGTTTCGACACCACTGACCTATTCCCAGATCACCGCTGACGGAAAACCGCACACCGTCCTTTGTGCAAGTGATCTGCACAGAGTCACCGATTTGGCTGAGATCCCGGCAGATACGCTGGAATTCTCCAGATGGCATCTTTATGACAACACTGTAATCGGTCTCCTGCAAAATAACCATGCAAACGGGGAGTGCAACAGAACTGCCATTGGCACCTAAACAACAATGCAGGCTTCGCTGCTGTGTTCCCTTTTCACATAGCAAGTCATCTAAGTGAATAGTATGCTCCTAATATCTTCTGGCTGGCTACGTTGCAACTGTGGCCAACAAAAAAACTAATTTGACATAAACAATAAGTGAAATCTTTGCTAAATAAAACGAAAGATAATTTCTAACTGTCATCAATGCTTGCATGATGTTTTATGGCGATTATTTGCGAGTGAAATGTGTCGTTGCTCCAGAGTGGCTATATAGTGAACACACCCAAGATGTAAAATCATGGCACTAACAGAACATACGTTACATATTTATGCTATGAATAAAAATAACCGCTATAAAATGTGGAAAAAGTAAGAAACCTCATAGCCTAGGCAACGACCTTGAAGGTAGGCCCGGCAGAAACTGCACACAATGACAACTTACCGGTATGCCCAGATGCTCCGTGTCAATATTCATCAGCTTCATCTCATAATCAGACACCTTTTCTTGGTCTATGAAATAACGTAAAATAATGCACGTTAATCAAATGATCGAGCGCCTGTTTCTGTGAAACATCCAAATGACAAATCCCCATTTGTCGCAAACACATCAGAAATGCGAAAGGAAGCTAACTTAAACAAACACGACACAAAGATGTCACAAAAATTGGCGGGCTCTTCCCGCCAATTTTTGTGCGCGGGAAGGCCCAGTAGTAGAAGCGACAGCACTTACTCGGCGCCTCGAACACAAAATTAACAGTGTCTGCATCATCCTGCGCCTTGATGGTAATAATATCATCATTTGCGGCACACCTCAGGATTTTGGACACACTGAAAATAACGAGACAATGGAGTTAGGCACGGCAAGTGATGGCCTCCAGGCGAGACAATGTTAGCGCCTTACCTTGCAAGGTTCATGCCCATGGAAAGATTTCGATCGCATCGAAACTTGTCGAAGCCATCGCTGCGCAAATTTAACGAGACTAAACTGACATGAGAGTTGTCCATAGCCTGGAGACTGATGCCTGTCGCCGAGCAGTCCCATGTCGCCTCGTTGATCAGATCTTTCACCGCTTCGAGGACTTTCTTGAGCAGAGCTCCTTGGACAAGGCGCGCTTCGAACATGATTTCAGATACTAGGCGGCAACTTTAGCCACACCTGGTATTAAAAATGCGAGCAAAGTTCCAAGTGCCGAAGTTTTAAGTACGAGCAGACGTCGCAACCTAACGCGCGCCGAGTAGATAGGATTGAGCCTGCTGGTGCGTGTGAAGTGGCGGGAATAGTGAGGACCGCGAGACGGCGACTCGGGAGCGCGCCAAAACCGTGCGAGTCTATTGGTTGAGCTGTTGCGCAAAAAATATACATATAATCAACTTTTATGTTTTAACAAAAATACAATAATAGCTGCTATTATATCTGTAAAAACACCCATATTATGTTATTTTAAACTTATGTAAAGAAGGTTTAACGTTTTAACCTCACGCAAAAAGTCAAGTGATGAGTCAAGCAAACGACTACGCAAAAACCTATGCGAAGCCTATCCGTATCCAGTACGTGTAGACCTCTCCCCCAGGCCCGCGCAGCACATGTTGCACACGCAAGGACCAATGGAGTGCACATGGTTGATGTAGTATTTGTGATGGTATAAGTATTAGACAGTTCACTTCGACAACGGAGAGGAAGCCTCAATAATGTTTGCCAAATTTGTCCGGCAGTGCATCCCAGTAGCTTCAAGAGGAAAGAACACGTACAATAGATGGCCTAAAGAGCGGGACGCACTGTGGCGAGCAGGTAACACGCTTGGGCGAACGTTGGTCGCTCCGAGGTTCGACAGTCTTAAACTGCCGCCATTTGAGAAAAACTTTTATGCTGAGAGCGAAGTGACCGCTGCTCGATGCGAGGAAGACGTCAGTGCCTTCCGCGCGGAACACGAAATAACTGTGCAGGGCCATGGCCGAGATCGTGTTCCAAAGCCCGTTCTGACGCTTGAAGAGTGCAACTTTCCACCGGAGTGTCGTCCCCTTTTTGAGCGCAAGAACATTACGCAGCCGTCGCCGATACAAGCTCAGGCATGGCCGATCGTTATGAGTGGCAGCGATTTGGTGGGCATCGCCCAGACTGGCTCTGGAAAAACGTTGGCCTACGTGCTCCCTGCGGCCATACACATGGCCCACCAGCAGCGTCCGCGAGGAGAGGGGCCCATCAGCGTGGTCTTGGCTCCGACGCGTGAACTCGTCCAGCAGATCTCGCAGGTTGCATACGAATGGTGCGAGGGTGCGTTTGGCCTATCAGGTACACCGGTGTACGGAGGTGTCTCCAAGGGTCCGCAGATTGAGCGTCTGCGACGAGGCGTGCACATGTGCGTTGCGACGCCCGGAAGACTTTTGGATATCTTGGAAACGGGTTCTGTGAACCTTCTACGCTGCACCTTTCTTGTCTTGGACGAGGCGGACCGCATGCTGGATATGGGCTTCGAGCCGCAGATCCGCAAAATCATCGAGCAGATCCGGCCAGATCGGCAGACTGTCATGTGGAGTGCCACTTGGCCTTCTGAGGTTCGCTCTCTGGCCCAGGAGTTCCTCATACCCGATCACGTGCAGGTCACGGTGGGCTCGACAGACTTGTGTGCGAACCACAACATCAAACAAGTCGTCCACGTAAGTGCGGCTACCTTCGCCCTCTTGCGTGAGGAAGCCCTCACCGCTTACGCCGCGCTTTTGTTTTTGAAAAGCATGTGACACACACACCAGTTTATCGAAAAAAAAAAGGGGGGGGGGGGGGGGCTCCGTGCCATCAGACTTTCAACATGATGCTTTGAAATCGGGATGTTTTCGTGATTGTAGCATTATTCAGAAGCCGTGGTTTCGGGACGTAAAACCCCACGTATTATTATTATTATTACAGCCTCGGTGCATTTTTGTAAAAGTCAAAACTGTTTGAGGCTTCCTTTTTGTCAACTTGGATTTTTGCACTAGCATTCCAGAAACCTCGCAGCCAAGGAAATGCTTAGTATGAAAGAAAATCGTGATTTAGGGGGTTTGTGAACTGTTAACATTGTAACCCTCCCACCTCCGCAAGGCTTTGCGATGTAGCATTTACCTGGCCCACCCTTTACTATGTGACATCCGGCAATGTGGTTTCCTTTGAGGCACGGAGGAAGGAAAGGTAAGGAGAGGCCCTGACGTCACTCGTGAAGCCGCGATGAAGCCCGTAGTCGGCCATATTGACTAGGCAAATTCTCCTCTCTTGTTTACATATGAATGCGAAGCAGAAGGCGCGATTCCCTCTCCGGCTCGGAAAGCACCTGAACTGCGCTGCGCGTGTGTCGTGACGATCCGAAACTAATGGAACTGGGCTCATCACTCTGAGCCAGCGGGACACCTTCAGCGAAATCGCTTCGTCCAAGTAATAATAACAGGGAGTAACAGCTCGCCGACAACGAAGCAACTACGAGAGAACGCGCGCTAGATGCACTGACAACGGCGAGTGCTTTCACGTAATTAATTCAGCAACTGTACAGACAACACGGTCGGTCGTGCGCCTTCTACGGTTGCATTCCGCCACGCAGCCGACGCAGCGTCCTGTCACTGTGTCCGTGTTCCGCGTGAAACTCACCGACGTCAGCATTCTGCGACCGTGGTGACTTTGAGCACGGTGCTAGTGACAGTTGAACGTGGTTGCTGTTACGTTGAGATTACATGCAATGCTGGTGGAGAGTGTACCAAGCGGAACAGAAAAGGTGTTTTAATACGCACATGCAAGTTGTTACTGTACACACACAACACGAAACTATGCATGTGCACATGGTCCTCATTGCGTCTTGCTCGGCTCAACAGCGTCGTCCGTTTTCACAAGCAGGAGCACTGCTCAACCGTCACTGACCTGCTAGGCGTTCGTCGTCATTCAGCTTCGTCATGGTGCCCAACGTAATTTCGCTGAACACTAACTGCTTCATCCGCGTCATCCGCCGCACGACACATGGATATGCACTTGTTCTACGCACTGTTGAAACCCCGTGATGGACAAAGGGATTTGTAAACGTTGCTAAGAGTAATGCAACAGCCAGGAAAACACTGCGTAACCAATAACGCGGCGCAGAGCACAGATATTGTCCGCCACGGCTCAGTACGAGACCTGGGGAGGCACACATTCCGCCGGCAGCCGTGGCCGCTCACTGCTAGACAAGCTCCACTGCACAACACGTAACCATAGCAATGCCGCCATTGTGCCTAGTGAATATGGCCGCCATGATGTCATTTCCGCCACATTTTTTACGCCCTGCGCCGGCTGGGCATGCCCTCTCCTTACCTTTCCTTCCTCCGTGCTTTGAGGTTACAAAATGGCCATGGCGACTTTGCTACACAAATGCAGTACAGCCCGGCGAAAACTTAAAAAGACCAGCAACTGTCCAGAACATGAAATGAGATGACTGCACAGATTAAAAGGTTGTCCCTCATAGTGACTCAAACCAACCCTATTTTTTTTCGTGAGAAGTGGTTGTATCTTTATTTTTTTCATTGAAAATTGCGAAAGTAGCCTGTGGCGCCACCTGGTGGCAGAAACTTTGATTATCCGATGTGCCCTGTCATGTGACTGTAAACTAGTGTACGCGGTCAAGAATTTTCCTGTATTGAAATATGCTTCTTTATAGCAAAAGATATTGCTTTATAAAATTGTACATATAGGCCTGCATTAGTAGTACGCATTAATTCGGCGTTGCCTTCACATGACGTAACTATCTTGAGCAACTTTTTCTGCATGCTCATAAAACTGTGCACGCAGTTTCCGAGTCGCGAAGATTTTGGAGTGACGTTGTTTTTCTATTTACGATTTGTCTCAAAAATGACATGTACTGCTAGTCGGCACGGCCGCGCATATGTGTAGTGACATTTTCAGTGACTTGGCTTGGCTCATGTGTAGAGACTAACGACGACGGGACAGGCCATTCATAACACAGGTGCAACACCCTTGGGTGCAGGCACATGCAACGCTGTACAAATACAGAGAAGCTGTGTAAAGCCACATTGTCTCATTATAACAACTTGTTATTTTTAAAAATAGTTGTAAAGCTCAGAATAAACGTGGTTAAACATAATAACAGAAACTCCTGTGAAAGCAGAACGACAGCATGCACATGTCGCCAGAAAGGCTACTGGCATCACTATCAATTCTCACTGTTGCTGGATGAAAGGGCTCATCTGTGTTCAGAGCCTTTCAATCGAAAAGTACTGCTTATAAAATGACTCCGTGCTTTTGGAATTAACTGCGGCAGCTACGAACACTACGAAGAGTAAGCTTTCTCTCGTGCCAAAAAAAAGATGGGTAGAAAAAAATAAGTTGTCAGTCCCTTTAACTTTTAGACCATGCATGCTCTTCTTCATGGTAACACCAAGTACTTTTCACAGCGGAAGCTATTATGAGGTCACAGGGGTCATTTTTGGTGCCATAGTTGTCTGCTGCCACCAATGTCCATATTGACTATCATGCAAAATAAGTAAATAAAAACACTAACACAATGGGATTCGAGCCCAGTATTCTACCACTGTGCACGCCAGTGCTTGAAACTTCGTTGGGAACTGACCCTAAGCAGGCTTCATGTCGAGAAAGGAATCAACAGCCAAAACATTGATGCAAAGGAACAACTAGGCATCACACAATGCGAATTGTGTAACGAGCGAGTCATCGAGTCCTCCAATTCATTATAAAAGCTTCAGGCATAATTATTCGTTGTTGCCAGGCAGCCACAGCATAAAAAAAATTGCACAAAATTTATTGCAGGTGTGTAGCGGGTACCACACTACTCTGAAGAATGGCATAGTGGGTACTCTGGAAGTGTGCTTGTAACAGTTACCCTGAGTGTTTAAAAAAAGGCCCTAGAAGGCTGCTCTTCCAGCTTTCACTATGCTGTGCAGTACTGGCGGTTCTTTTTTCTATGAATCAAACTAATTCACCAGCTACATTTTCTTCAAATGTTCTATTTTATCATCATGAGTATGTTTTAGTTCTTGCGATTATTTGTGTTGAGGATGTTCTGCGTCACCAGGCTCTTGTTCTATATTGTCATACTGGTGACTCAAATCGTGTCCTGCGTTTACCTTAATTTTCTTTATTTTCTCAAGCATTTACCTTTCATTGTAGTACAAATTGTCTGCATTTTTCGTCCGTTGAATTGTTATGTTGTTACTTATGCTTTCCCTTTCAGTACAAATGCTTTCTTGAACTTTTCACACATGCATGTATAGCACATTCCTGTCGGACAAATAATCCGTCAGGAGCCAGCACTTGTCTTGTGTGTTTGCTTTCTCACACTGTTATCAATATGAATTATCCGCTCACCCACCCTACTAGCGTATCACCAAGCTAAAAGATAAAAGAAACTTACTGGAAAGCTTTCATTTCGACAACTTTTTCACCTTGTATTGGGTTTTCTTTGTTACAGCTTGGTGGAACTTTCATACTTTTTGAGAGTCTGAAATGGCACTTCAATGTTTATAAAATGTTTGAACACCTTCTCCTATTTATCGCAGGTGTGTGATGAGTTTGAAAAAGAAAACAAGCTGCTGGGCATTCTACAGGACATCATGGAGCAGGGGGAGCAGCGCACACTGATCTTTGTTGCCCGCAAGTCAAGTGTTGTACAGCTGCTGCAGAAATTGCAAAGTAAGGGCTTCAGAGCTGTGGCCACTCATGGTGACCTGTCACAAAGCAAGCGGGACATTGCGTTAGATCGTTTTCGCAGTGGTGCAACTCCTATCATGGTAGCTACTGATGTTGCTGCAAGAGGCCTTGATGTGAGTGATGTTAAGTATGTCATTAACTATGACTACCCAGACACATCGGAAGGCTATGTCCATCGCATTGGCCGCACTGGACGCAGTGACCGAGAGGGCACTTCCATTACCTTATTCACTCCCGACAATGCTGCACAAGCTAAGCAGCTTATTGCAGTGCTACAAGAAGCAGGTCAAGATGTGCCAGAAGAACTGCAGCAGCTGGTGAACTTGCATGTCTCAAAACAAGCTATTGTACGACACATGAAGAAGGGAAAGCACCAGCAAGGTTCATGGAAGCGACCTCGGCACTACCGCTATGAAAACGAAGTAGCAGAGACTCGTGGTTGGGGTTGACAGTTTTTTGTGAATCCTAGCAGTCTCATGTTGACGGTATATTGATCTTAGTAAATTAGGAAATTATAACATCCTATAAACAACTCATAATGGAGATGCTGTCACTGATGTGCCAAGCTGTGAGTAGTTTGCCCATTGAATGGGCAACTATGGTCTCAGTTTGTGTGAGTGCACTTTATGTAGCTAATTCATAGAAAAATTTATTTCCAGAAATCGGTTAGAAACAGTGACCATTGAATGTGTCACCACTTGTGTAATGTTCCTGTTGTTCCACAAATAAATTGTCTTGTAGGAGTATTTCAATAAGAATGCTTTGTGCGATGTTATGTTTCACATTTCATTCAGGACATAACACAATGTACAGTTGCTACACCAGGGTTGTGGTGAGTTTGCTTGTACGACACATTATGAAATTACATTTTCTGTATTAGTATATAAAAATAGTGAAATGTTTAGATAGTATAGTAGGCACCTTAATAAAAGAAATAACTGGTACTTCATAGAACTAAAAATCAAATTAATGTTGTAGAAAATAGACGCTTCTAGCAACAGTAAGCTAAAGGCACTGTATTTTAAGTGTGTTGTTACTTTGCATAGATACATCAACAAAATTGAAGAAAATACCGTGGAAGAAACTGCAACTACACAATTATTGCATAGTTGTGTGTACACCTTTAGAACATCTACCAACCTGGAAAACCTTGGATTGCCGTTGAGATATAGAAAAAGCGAGGAGGTATCGTGGAAACTAGAGGACTGCAGTGATCAAAGCTTATGACGTTGCACCAGAGTTCTTATGCACCTGCAGTGAACTGTTAAGCAGCCATGTGAAAAGCAAAGGCACTGTATAACTTGCTTTTACAGATCACACATTGTATCTCAATTTCCCAGCATGATGCTTTTTAGGCTGATATATTTGTGCTTGTTTGTCTTTGCCGTGATCTCTACTTGGCTTGAAGACATTCTTGTTACTGACTGGGTGAGTTGGTGATTAGGATACTTGAAATACGAGCATGTAACTTCAACAGGAACTTAACAGGACAGAGACCTTGTCTTCTTAAGACCTCGTTTAAGTTATGCTCGTATTTAAGGTATTCTAGTGAGGCCAGAATCACTATTAGCAAAAGCTCCCGAGGCAGGGTCAAGCTAAATTCGGTGGTGATGCTATAGCAGATGTCATCAGATCTGCACTATCCACTACTCTTGTACAAAATCAAGGAGGCTGTGGGCCACTCGTTCAGCTGTGGCGCTGTCCTGCAGGATGTCACGGCCTGACCAATTCCTGCGAGCTGCCACATGTTCGTCAGTGCGTCAAACGAAATACCCACCCTTTGTTACACACATGGACATTCATTGCATCGCAAAGGTCAGAAAAACAATATGCAAGCATGTGTGTGCCGATCATACAAAAAATAAACAAAAAGGAAAAATCCCACACAGTGTCGTCGGTTCTTGCAAAAATGTTATAAGCCCAATGAGGAAAGTCCTCGAGCAATACTAATTCCATAGTTAGAGACTTTTTTGGTGTGCTGGCTGCTGGGGCACAGAACAGGGTGTACAGAATAAGTAAAAGTTTGTTTTCTTTTCACTGAAAAACATATTTTAGAGGTGTGAAACGTATGTGGTTGTGAAGTGAATTAATAAATACAAGACAGAAGTTCAGTGGTGAGGATGGAGGCTTGAAATGATGAGAAATTGAACAGCGAATATTGCTGGAACCAACGTTAAAACATGTAGACTTGTCATTGTCAAGGCAGTAACCACCTTAATTAAGACAGGTCAGTTGCTGTGGTTGGCAACTAGAGTAAATATGGTAATCCAGATCTCATCAAATCTGGTCCACTATGCCATTGTGGGGTGCAGCCGTATTGCCTTTGTGAGCTGTTTTGCTTATACAGACGAACAATAGTTGTCTTTTAATTGCATATTATGAAGGACACTTCTAGCCAGGGAAACAATAAAGTGGTGCGGTTTCTAGTTTATGCAAGAGCCCTTTTTTTTAAGCCACTTGATGGCTTATTTCCTTTATGCACATTTTTCCAAGCAGGCTTACTAGTCATACAATATATTTAGAATGATCAGGGAAAACTGAAAAGTCAAGAAATGTGGAAAATTCGAATTGGTAGACGCCCTGTCATTGTGGGCAAGGAGGCTAATCGTGGTGCGCCCCAATGATGTATGCCCACTGAAGGCGGCTTTACTCTAAACCAGGGGTTGTCTGACTTGGTGGCCTTGAGGAACACCTCAAGCTTTTCCAGAAAGCTACAACACTTGCCTCTTTTGACCTGTTTTGGCATTAAGGGAATGAGTGGGGTAGGGGGAGACGCTGTGAATTGCCACCATCACACTGGCATGTTGTCTTTGATACTGAACGCAAGTTCTCTTGATGGAGGCCTTTCTTATAATACATAAAATACACTTCTTTTTTTTCTAGTTGCACAATCCACATTGTCAGGCACGTGTCGTGCAGAACCATATACATCCAACAAAGTGTCGGATGTATAAAAGTATATCTTATTTCTAGAAAAAAAATGATGGCCAATTGGCATGTACAAACTGCAACCTGTAAACTGCAAAGCACTGTGCAATCCAGAAATAAAGCATTTTCTAAGCATGTATTCGAAATAACATTCACAAGCGTAAATGCACTTGTCATGTGGCTACTGTAGCAAGTTCGACAACTGGGCTGGTTGGTAAGGTTCCACCGAGATTACTGTAAAGCGAAAATCATGGACAAGTTGACACGAGTCTTACTCGCAACTGAAAGTTTTGTTTGATGAAACTCAAGAAAAGAAACCTAAAAAAGACTTTTCACTTTTGTAGGCTTCATATAATAAACCTTTTAGTTGCAAGTAAGCGATTGTCGTGTCTACTTCATTTCCGTGTATGCGCAAGCCTTAACATTGCTTCATGGGTCACTTCCTGCTCTCAGCATCCCACTTGTGGGAAGCAGCATTCTGTTTTTGTTATATCCATATACAATGGCAATTATTTTTCCCTGAAGCTATCAATTGTTTGCTAATAAAGCTAATCAGGTCTCATCATTCTCATTGCTTACAAAGCCCAAAAATACCCTTAAAGCTCTCGAGTTCTGCAAACCTTGCTCTTGAAAGAGAAGCACAGTTTGTGTTGAAAAATAGCTTTGGCAGGCTAATGACATCAGCCAAGTTCTAACCTGGTTGGCTGCCCCCAGATATCTGTGATATTTCATCATAAGCAAGGATGCAGTGTATGATGCTTGTTGAAAAAAGAATATTGATTGCTGTATGTACAAAGTATGACATATCTAAATACTGTATTTACTCGCGTAATGAACGCACTCGCATAATAAACGCACCTCGAACTTTAGTCGTCAAAATTTGATTTTTTTTTTCTCCGCGTAATAAGCGAATCCCATTCATTCATCCGCTGCAGTCCCGCTAACCGACACATGAGGCCTGTTGGCTCTCTTCTGTTTTTTTTTATTACTTTGCCGACCACCTCGGTTCCACCCCCCTCCCCTCATGCGTTGCTGAGTGCCTATTGCTTTTCTTACCATCTGTGCGCGGTACGTCCCCAGTCTTACCTGTGCGCCAAACTGGTCACCAAACTGCCCGCCCTAACAGGCGTCGGTCCCTTCCTGCAAACACCCCTCCTCCCCCCCCCCCCCCTTCTTTTTTAGCCTATTTTCTTTTTTCCTCACACTAACTGACTCGTGCACGCTTTTGGGCGCCCCTCGAGATCACAAGCAGATACCACTGTTGCTGTTAAACGATTGCAAGAAAAGATAGTGGCAAAGCGTTTTTATGGTGTGGGCGGGCGGCTTGGGGACAGCTTGCATAAGATAGCACCATCAACCACCGAAGATGAGTAAAGTGCAACAAAGAAGCTGTTTCCAAACAGTGTACACGTATGTAAATTGCAAAAGGCTAAGCGACCTAACTTTTTTTTAATTACCGCATTTTTTCCCTTCTTTCAAAAAAGTTTTCATAAAATTTACCTCGCGTAATAAACGCACCCCCCCCCCCCCCCCGAACTTTACTCCGACTTTCGAGACAAAAAGGTGCGTTCATTACGCGAGTAAATGCGGTACATGCAAGCGTTCAATACCCTGACTTAATGTGTATCTTAGAAGTGTGGCAGCTTGGGCTAGTTGGTATGGCATGACGATAGTTATATTTGTTCAGTTTTGTTCTCGCGCTATAACTATCGTTAATGTGTATGTCTATGAGGATGTTTTAAAGGAACCGACAATTGCACAGAATATGAAATGAGATGAATCTACCGAGGAAAAGATTGTCCGTCACATTGACTCAAACCAACCCTGTTTTTTTTCGTGAGGTGAATTTGTATTTTTATTTCTTCATTGAAAGTGGCGAAAAATGACCTGTGGCACCTCTGGTTGCAGATCGATGAACAACCCGATGTCCCCAGCTGTGTGACCCTTGCTTGATGTATGCGGTCGACGATTTTTTGTTAGTATTGAAATATTTGTTTCTTTATACCAAAAGAAATTACTCCACAAAAATGTACTTGTAGAGGCCTGCGTTATTACTAGTATGCATTGAAGAGGCGTAATGATTCCATGCTTATCAGTGAATCTTGAGCAACTTTTCAGCATGCTCGCAAGTTTCCAGGCCGCTAAGATTTGGAGCAACAAAATTTTTCTACCTACACTTTCTTTCAGAAATAATGCTACTGCCTACTCGGCGCGGCCATGCACATGCGTAGTCATGTTTTCAATTACTTGGCTGGGCTCGTGTATTTAGGGAGTGATGAAGCGGGTACAAGCCACACATGAGGCAGGCACTAGCAACTTTGAGCACAGACGCGCACAAAATGCGGTACAAATACAAAAAAAGTGTATAATGCAACATCATCTCATTGTAACAGCTTGTTACTTTCAAAAATAGTTTAAAAGCTCAAAATAAAGATGCTTCAGCATAGTTATTATAACTCCTGTGAAAGCAGAACGACGACAGCTTTGAGAAATCTTGAGAAGAGCTGGCCGCATCGCTATCAATTCTCAATATTGTTTAAAGAAAAGTACATTTGTGTTTAGAGCCTTTTAGATTAAAAAATACTGCGTGTAAAATAACTACAAGCTTTTGGGATTATCAACTGCAGCTACAAACACCATGAAGGACGAGCTTTCAGTCGCCAGTCCCGTAAAAAAAAATGGGTCGAGACAAGTCAGTTATCAGTCCCTTTAAGGCTGTTGAGTATATGAACTGAGCACCATAACATCAAATGTTGTTTTAGCTACTGAGGTGGTGCAAGAGTTTTCATAAACACTCAAATTGTGAACAGGCCGTGAGCTCCTTCCTAGCAATGAGCGTGTCCACACGACAGCCTCAAGCATCACCCTTGAGGCACCAGCAGAACCCACACAAGGTGGAAATACTGCTCTGCAGACTGTCCCTTAGAACCTTCCCTCTGCTTGATGCGAAGCTGACCTGTGCAGATGCTACTGCTTGGTTCCAGCTTCAAACCACATACGGTATGTTCCTAAACCTTGTACTCTGTCACACTTCACCTAACATAGTATCTTGACTGACGTCTTTTCCGTGGGGAACACCTAGGCTTGTACCACTCCTCATGGGAATACCCCAACCCTCTCGGCCCACATCAAATTCCAGATCCCTCCCCATCCCAGTGGAAAGGCACTCAGTCCAGCACAACCCTGGAAGACCACTGAAAGCTGACTGAATGGGCCAGCTGGGTCGCTGCAGCAAATGGGGCACTGGACTCCATTCCCAGAAGTTGAAAAAAAAAGTATTACTACTACTACTTTTCATTCTGTTTTTCATTAGGCAATTGTTTTGAAGACAACTAATCTTTGTTCAGCTATGTTTTTTAGTTCAGTATAATCTGATTGATATATTTCCCAACTAATATCCTCAAGTGTGCCCGACACCACAGTGTGCCCAGGGTTATAAGATTTATATTGGCCACATTGTAGTAGACATGTGTAGTAAGGATGGAATAGCACTTGTTCACGTCGTGCTTTGTGATAAAACTCGTGGCTGCGAACATTTTAATGTGGCCAACGTAAATCATCCATTTGCTCACTGATAAGTAGGTACAGAGTGGTTTATACAGGTTTCGAAAGCCAAAATTCAAGTGATTTCAGAGATTTTCATGCCCTGTTATTTATAGATGCAGAGCAGTGTTCCGAGTAGGAATTTTTTGCTATTGATCACAATGCTTCCAAAGCACTATGGGCAGCATTAATATATTATAATGCAACAGTTACATTACAGTTGTTTACTTAGTGCAGTGAAGCTTTGGCCTAGTTGGTTTTGAATTAAGAAATAGGAACAGCGAGACATTCTAGACGGAGACACAAAACACAGCATAAAAAAGTGCAGCGCGATAATCTATATGGGAACACATACACTCAAAAAAACAGACAAGCACTTGTCCAAGTTGTTTTTTTGCGAGTCTTTGAGTAGAATATCGAGCTGTTCCTATTTAGTAATACAAAAGTTCAGTATTACACTTCAAGGCGCTCACACGCACAAAAGTTCACGGTATTATTATGGCTGCTCGGATACCTCTTGCAGTAGCTAGGCAATGTCAGTCCTCCCATTTCACTTTCTTCTGTCTTTTGCAAACTGCTCAGTCTCACTATGAACGTAAGAATTTATGACACTTCTGCACATTTGCTTAGAAGTGATCAACTGAAGCAGCAGTCTTATTTTTTTATTCACCCATGTTGACAATTTGATCTTTAGACACTACTATGACTTTCTGGAGTCATCAAGCTTCACCTGATTTTGAGCTTTGATATGCACTAAATGCAGATAAGATGCATGCCAGTATGGGCAGTTGCTCAACAAATATCCAGAACCTGTGTACAGGCGTATCAAAAAGAGAGAGCGAGAGCAATAAGCAATACTCAGCTGGAGCCAGTGACCAGAGTCAACAGCTGTAATTTTGGACTTCTTACTTTTCGTGTCTGACTGGCAATCTGCAATCTTTTTTCTAACTCTGGCTGCCCAAGGACAGCAGATTTTTACAGCAAAGACTGTTATAAGATCACATCTCGGGTCACACGCAGCGCCGTAGCTGTCCGCCGCCTCCGGTGTCCGTAACAACACTACACGAAATAAGAATAAAAAGTACCAGGGACACAGTGGGGCTCAAACCGGGTCCACTGTATGCCAGACCAGTATTCTACCACTGAGCCACGCCAGTGCTTGGGACTTGTTCACGAACTTGCCTTAGGCAGGCTTGATGTCGGGAAAGAAATTGCGTTAATATGAGTAATAACGTGTTTTATACAACCAGGGTAATAAAGTAATAAAAAGTAATAATAATGAGTAATAAAGATACAACCAGGCATCACACAATGTGAAGAGCGTAACGAGCGTATGCGTAACGAGCCAATGCTCCAAACCATTAAAAAAGCTTATTCTTGATCACCTCTTAACTGTGGCCCATACCCACTTCAGGCATAATTCCTCATCGTCGTCAGTCACTGCATGAACAATCGGCCCAAAATTACTTGCAAGTGCTTAGCGGATACCATGCTTCTCAGAAGAATGACGAAAGATAGCATAGTGAATGCCAGCCTACTACCCAGAAATTATTATTACTAATGCCGTAGTTGGTTCCCAGCAAGTGTGCTTGCAGCAGTTACCCAACAAGTGTTAAGAAACGGCTTTGAAAGGCCGCTCTTGTAGCCTTCGCTGTGACTGTGCTGTGCCTTCCGCGCAGGCCTGGCATTTTTTATGTGCTGCTGATTAGATTGGCAGATGTGAACCGAGTGTCAGTAGCTTGACTTTGTACACTGCTTACTTAAACAGTGAAGCACAGATGTAGGAGAAAAAGGCCTCACAAGCACTGAATGTGTGAATGTGAAGTTGAATCCATGGGAAGTAAATTGAGAGAAGCAAAATAAGCAAAAGGCAGATTGACACGTGGAAAAATGAAAAGAGTGATCGAGCAAGGTGTGAAGAAGGCAGCGCAAACATGAGAGGAGCGCTATCACTAAGTGGCACTGCCTTTACACGTGTAAAGGCAGTGCCACAGACTCTGCTGCACATGTCCGCAGTAAATATGTGCCACCACACAAGACCCGATCACAAGATTCACAGAGCCACCTCTTTGCAAGCTTTGCAAGGCAGTGTGCGCCCACCTTCTGTGTGCCGAAGTACATAGTCCACACCCTTCGCATGCCACTTTTGCCCTTCACCTTAAACCCTCCACTTTAATTTTTTTTTCTTCTGCTTCCTTTGACCAGCATACGCTGCAAACACGGAGCGCTTAGTTATGGAGCTATGTTCTCTGGCTGTACGATAAATGGAGCTTTGTTCAGTAGATCATCTTTCCACTGATAGCGAATTTTTGCATGTTTGCATGCCATTGGCAATAGCGCATGATAAATGCACATCTCTGTGGTATGCAGAAGCAAAGAGCACGATATTTTAGAAAAATAAGTTGGTGAACGCACACAAATAGCATTCAAGAAAACCAGAACGGCAATACTCAATCCACGTGATTGCGACTACAAGGCATAATAAACAACTAGTGTGTATTAAAACAGCGCAACACAGGATGGTTTTTTCATATGCATATGCAGTCAAAACACGCGATCACTACAGTCGAATCCCTTTATAATAGACACTTATATAAGATACAAATGGGTATAACAGACACCAGTGTAGCAACACTAGAATACGGGTTGATAAAAAAAATGGATATGAGGTATCCTGCTTATGAGAGACAAGAATTGCTTCTGAGAAATAAGCTATAAAACTATATACAGCTGAGTGCCTTTTATAAAGGCGCTCAGCTGTATATAGTTTTCAGCGCACCGTTCATGCACATGTCCATGCCTGTTTATTTCAAAAGGCTACGATACACATTATTATGAAGGGTGCAGAGATACCTGTGGCTAAAGAAATGAGTCAAGCTATGCAGCACAGTGTTGCACAAGTTGCGCATAAAGAATGTGGTTTCGATATATGAAGCGTGTTCTTATAATCGCAGTGGAAAATACAATGAAGATGTACTGCTGTGCAAGGTCATCTTAGAAGTTTAAGAAACACATCTACTTTGTAATAACACGTTTCTTGAATGCCTACCTCAGATCGCACACACCACTAGAGAATAGCTATTCGGCTTTGTGAAGCGCACTAAACTCTGATATTGCGTTCTGGTCGATTAGTGACAGCACAACGAGGTTCATTGACCGTTCAGCACTGGATAATGAAAGAAAAGGCCATATTTTTTCGGTCCGAAAGCTCCGCCAACGTGAGCAGCTCAGCCTCTCCGTGGCCCATCCTTTTGGAGACACTAGCAGACGATTCTGCGATGGTGCCCAATAGAACGTGGCAGACGTGCCCAGTGTTGCCAGAGTACTAAGCATTATGAATATCCCCTCAACATGAAGTGTCCTGCAAGCCGAAGACACCGCCAGGACAATAGTGCGCTTGGTCGACGCACATGCATGGTTTGGCTTCACACTACAATCTTGTTAGACTGAAATAATGTTTCTCCCTCTAATTCTCTGTGTAAAGATTACAGTTTTCATCTTTTAAAATGCCAGGTTCTTCTGACAGCTCCCCAGCCCCCACCGGTGTTTTTCTTCGGGGGGATTCTTGCAGCCATTTCGTGCCCAATAGACACTGATTCTTCACTGGTGGTTTCTTTCAATTCCGAATTGATTAGAACTTTAAAAATTTAACAGACGACTACATTTATAGAACATACCTACAGAGATCGATCAATGGCATACACAAGTTTGCTCTAAAGATGGAGCTCTTTGCAGATGATGAAACAATAAATACGTGTGCAATTTCATTTTTGCACTTGTTCGTGGAGCGACAGGAAAGGTGTTCAAGTTATCTTTGAAGTGGCACAGAAAACTGTAAAGGCATAATGAGGTTGGTAGAGTGGGGGTGAGGGGGTAGAACATTGCATTATGTCTGTGGTCAGACAAATGAAAGGGTAGATTTTCTAGGTAAATCACCTAAAGAAGCTTACACATTAAAATGTTTAAGATACTAAAATGTGTCCATGTAGTCACTTTCTGCTGTGTGGAGTTTGAAAAAAAAAATATACTGAATTAACACAAAACTGTGTTGTGAATACAACAAAAAGGTTGCCATAACAACATGATTATATATGTCTTTTACTGAATCAGTTTTGTGGGAATCCCCGTTCTGAATAAAAGTTTAATGAAAGAACAAAGCTGCCTTTGGCTTTAGAAAGTAAGCCAGGATTACAGTGTTCTACTTACTCTTCTTTACACAGATTTGTTTTCTTTAGGAGTCTGTATGGCAATATTTTTTTCAATAACAGAGTATGGCAAAGCTTTTTTTTTTCTAATCTTCAAGTGAAAAGCATGGCAAGGACTGATCGAATATGTGCACTTTCCAAGCATTCAGTTCATTCTTAATGAAAAAAAGTCTGCGTTTAGGAGGTAAATGGTACTTGGTGTTCATCAGTTTCTTGTGGCAACCAGTACCAAATATTATTTACCATTGGGTGTTAAAATAGTATTGTGAACACACCTGCACAGGTGTTGTGTCATACCAACCTTTAATTTCTGGTACAACAGGCTTGCACATGATGTAAGTACTTCTGTTGTACTGAAGTGTAGTTGGACGGCATAGTAGTGTGTAACTTCAGGAATATAGTAGCAGAAAAGACATGGGAAAGCTCATTTTTACATAAAACTTTACTGTAAAAACTTTACACAGTGCTGCTTTGTTATGCATGAATAAAAAAAATTGCAGAAACTAATTCGTTTAAGTATGCAATAGGAAAAATGCCGGTTGCTTATTCCATTTTTTGATGTTGCAGCAGCTAGTTTGTTTGGCGTCATTGTCCCTGGTTTGCTTTGAGAACAATGACCAGGAACTTGTCCCTGGTAGAGCAGTGGATTATGCCATGTGGGCAGACAAAAGTAAGGACAGATGTCCTAAGTTAATCCAATAAAAAAACCTTGTACATTAAAATGTTTAAAATATTAAAATGTTTTCATGCAGTCATGTTTTGCTCTGTGCGGTCTGAAATAAAAATAAACTGAATTCATACAGAAGTTCGTTATGGATTACACATAATAGTCTTCTTCGTCTTCAAAGTAAAACTGGTATGGGTCCACATTTCTGATGTCGTTTTCCCTAACATACCTGCAATGAATGCAAAAGAAGTGAGAGTATGTAAAGTGAAGGAATACTTATGACTGAATTTCAGTTTAAATGGTATGGTTAAGGTCAAGAGTATCTATGCAGTACCTGGGCGTGATCTAATACTAGGTGCTTTTACACAATGTATTGCTTTTTCATGGTGAGCTTTGAGTGCCAAATGTATACGTAGAATTTTGGGAGTGTGCCAACAAGGTGCAAGAAGTCTAACTTTGTATGGTGCTCTTTACAATATGGATGTAAACGACAAAAATGCATTCGTTTACACTTGTGTATGACAAAAAATTGCGAGAAAGTGGAGGCTTGTAGGGCTACAAGGCCACATTTATAAAGTGTAAGTAATCCAAGTAGGAAGTTCATGAAAATCACTTTTATTTTATAGGAATAGTAGTTACAGGCACACTTAAGAACCGGATTTACCATCAACATCACATTCTGTATGAAGTCCAAGTATGAGACTGTATGCATGCATGCTCTCTACTGTAGGGTGCGCAGTAGAAGTCAAATGTTTGCAAGAGTTTAAAAGTGCTGCATCCTAGCAGCATTGCACAATGCAATATTTCATCTTAATTAGCATTTGTTTATCAATATATAAAAATTTTATAAATTTCTACATCCAATAAAAGAACACTAAAGTTAATCACTTAAGTCAGTTTATATTTACAACTTATTTTTAAAAAATTATAGCTAACTTTGCTATCGCAGCCTCATTTTAACAGAAAATAAGGTGAAAGTGAAAGTTTTATATTCTGGTCACATTGCTTCCTCCCAGAGAACACAATGTAATGCATTTTTTGCCAATGAATAATTAGGCAGGCCCTAGCAGAAAGAAACCATCAAAATTTACAGCCAGTCTGTGCGAGAGCTTTGAGCCAGTATTAGCCTGTATTTTCATTTGGCAAGTCTTCTCATAGGATGAGTCATGCTTTCAGTATTGTGAAAGGGTTCTTACTGTTAAGAGACAAAGTAAATTTCTTGTTGCTGTACTTTTAGAGCAAGAATTTAAATGCTAGGGTATTTATTGAAATGAAGGGGGACATAAAATTAATTTGCTGCATCAACCAGTTTGTAATAAAGCTAGAGTTTTTGGCACTGAAAGGTGCCAAACATGTCATTAAACAATACCAAAAATTTATTTTTTTATTTTTAACAGCTGAAAGCAAACCTCAGCTGCCTCCAAGAAGCAAAGAGAGTAGCTAGATGGGAGTGGAGAAGCTTTCGAAGTGCGATCACCATGAAGGCAAGCATTTTGCAAATAATGCCATGATCAGTAGGAAGTCAGTGTTTGGCATTTAAGAAGTACACTGAAGTCGATTGACAAAATGCCATATTAAGTAAATGTTTACATTACAGTTCATAAACGCTGCTATCTTGATATGAAGAATTTCTACACATGACTTTAGTGCCATTTATACATTTTAATAAGACACTCAAAAATAGGCACATTTAAGAGCATGGAAGGACTTACTTGCCCAGCCCACGGCTAATCCTATCCAGTTCTTTTCTCAAACGCATCATCTTCATGATTTCCTGTATGTTTGAAATGAAAGTAAAACACGACACAAATTTCAATCGGATAAAAATGAACATTACACACAAAGCCAGCTCATAAAAGGCACTTAGAAAATATAGATGACATGAGTTATATTGGAACGGTATAGATAAGATATATCTCAAGTCCCTTTATAAGCCTTTAAAGACAGAGGCTCGGGAAGTATATCTGAAGTGTGGGGGCGAAGTTTGTCGGCAGGGAGATTATATATATATATATATATATATATATATATATATATATATATATATATAATGTATAGAGGTGGTAATACATACCTCTGTTTTTGCTAAGGCGACAAAAGGAGGGATGGGGAGGGGGGAAGGGTCGCAGGAGTTGTTAGTGGGGGCATGTCTCCCCTTGTTTCTAAACTGCGGGGGCGACGGCCCCCACTGCCCCCCCCCCCCCCGGTTCTGGAGCCCCTGTTTAAAGAGGTATAATACAAAACTGTGCTCTAACCACAATTGTGAACATTGGTCAAGACTACAAGAATACACCCAGTCAATAAAGACAGATCAATTCAATTAGAGCTGATGGTTAGCTCAAAGTGCCCTAATAGCAAACCTTAAAGGTATGGTTCTTTGCAGCCTTTAAAGTTAACAAATCAGCTTTATAGAGTCTCAAAAATACCAATACTATTAAATATTGTCGTGGTACAACGCAAACAAAACACAGGTACACCTTGAGACAACGAAAGCAGCGTGTTCTTAACACCTGAGCCACAAGATCATCTTCTTTGGTCTCGAGTGAAGCTAGAGGCCCACTACCTCGTGTCCGCTAAAACACCCATCATCGTTTTCGTCCACATGTAGACACGCGTCATTTGCCTCCCTCTCAAAGAGCGTCGCCCCGATGCGAAGTCTGTAATGCAGTTTGTTTGTTTTTTTTCTCAAGAAAAGTCTCACGCAATCACTCGCTGACGTAAGGCTTAACGTAAGACGTAACGTGAACGAGTTCAGGATGGTGCTGGCGATGTTTTGTACTATACGAACTGTCGGGAACAACCTCGTAAGTGACATCACTCAGTCATCGCAGCACTAGGTACGGTCCAAAGTATCTTTTTAAGAGATTTTCGGAAAGTCGTTTCCATACGGGCGTCCAAACCCATACTTAGTCACCAGTTTGGTAGACGACTGTTCTGCGGTGAGCATTGTAGCGGCCTGCATCATACTCTTGCTGCTGGCTGATCCGCAAACGTGCAAGTTGCCTAGCTTTTTCCGTGCGTTCCATAAACGTGTCGCCGTCCGGAACGATGTCGTCGCCTTCGTGCGGTAACATTGCATCTAACATGATTCGTACTTCTCGTCCATTAACGAGGCTGAACGGTGTCATACGGGTCATTTCTTGCTTGGCTGTGTTGTATGCAAACGTTATGTAAAGCAAGATTTCATCCCAATTTTTGTGTTCAACGTCTACGTACATCAAAAGCATGTCTTCAATAGTTTTGTTTAGATGCTCTGTCAGCCCGTTCGCTTGCGGGTGGTAGGCGGTGGTCTTACGATGCGTTGTTCCACTCAGCATCAAGACATGGTCCAAAAGAGCTGCCGTAAATGCGGTTCCTCTGTCTGTGATTACGACGGTTGGTGCATCATGCCTCAGTACAATATTCTCGATGAAAAATCTTGCCACCTCCGCTGCTGTACCTCTCTGGATAGCCTGTCTCCGCATAACGGGTTAGATAATCTGTCGCGATGATAACCCATCGGTTGCCTGCAGTAGAAGTAGGGAGTGGGTCCAAATGTCCATGCCGATCTGGTGGAATGACGTCGTTGGGACCTGTACGGGTTGCAGGAGGCCAGCTGGTTTAGTCGGTGGTGACTTGCGTCGCTGGCAGTCGAGACAGGTACGAATGTGGTGCTTCAGGGCTGTGGTTAGTCTTGGCCAGTAATACCTTTGCTGTACCCTGGCCAACGTTCTCGTGTAACCCAAGTGGCCAGAGATAACCTTGTTGTGGCATGCTTTCAGTACTTCGGTGCGAAGGGCTGCTGGGATGACGAGCAGATAGGCAGATCCCGTCGATGAAAAATTTTTTTTGTAGAGTACTCCGCCCCATAAACAAAATGATGACAACACTCTTGCGAAAACTCTTGGCGCCTTCCGAGATCTGCCATCCAATTAGGTAATTAGGCCAAGCAACTCAGCGTCGTCACGTTGTTGCTGCGCAATGGCGGTCGTGTCGAGAACACCGAGAAATGAGAAATAAACACCGAGAAACGCGCTAATCGGCCGGTAGGGTCTTTAAGATTTGTTAACCAACACAGTGAGTGGTGGCCGCTAATTACTTTGAAGGGGCGGCCATATAAATATGGACGAAAATTTGTAACCGCCCGTACCACAGCGAGACATTCCTTCTCAGTCGTGGAGATACATGCCTTGATACATGCCTCAGTGCATGTTAACGTTCTGCTTGCGTAAGCGATTACCCTTTCTGTGCCCTTTTGCTGCTGCACAAGCACAGCTTCCAGACCAACATTGCTAGCATCGGTGTGAAGCATCATAGGTGCTCTCTCGTCGAAGTGGGTAGGGACTAGAGGTGTTTGTAGTCGCTGGCGAAGATTGTTAAAAGCAGCTTCCTCTTCGTTGTTCCACTCAAAAGTGACATCTTCTCTCGTGAGGCGAGTGAAGGGTGATGCTATGCGTGCGAAGTCCATGATAAATCGTCGATAATATGCACAGAGGCCGAGAAAGCGTCTGACAGCCTTCTTATCGGTCGGCATAGGGAACTGTTCTATGGCTGCGATTTTTTCAGGATCGGGACGAACCCCGCACCTCCACCAGTGTCGCGGTACAATGCGAACAAAACACAGGTACACCTTGAGACAACGAAAGCAGCGTGTTCTCAACAGCTGAGCCACAAGATCATCTTCTTCGGTCTCGAGTGAAGCTAGAGGCCCACAACCTCGTGTCCACTAAATCCCCCATCATCCTTTTTGTCCACATGTAGACACGCGTCAATATGTTATTTGACAAAATTAAGCATCGCGAAGAAATGATACTCGAAAAATGCAAGTTTTTTTCCAAAATTACACATTTCTTGTTTTTACTTTCACAAGCTTAAATTCTCTGCTTCCATGAAGAAAAAAAAAAAGAGGTTGTAAATAAATTCAAAGTAGATTAAAATCGATTTTAAAAAGTGCAAGGTGGCTACTAAATATTAAAAGAGCTGATTGTCTAGAGTGCTCTGAAAATTGTCACCTTGCCAATGCATTTCACATTAGGAGCTCACCAAAGCATCATGCTCCAAATAAGCATGATGGCCAAGCTCTCATGATGAAAGTCACTTAAAAAAGTTTAACTCTGCCACCTAGATGAGCTGTCATTTTTATGTTTGAAATGCATTTTCCTTAAGATGAAATTTCGGGCAATTACATGAGTTTGGGCATCACGCTTTTGGTACTTCTGATGGCCACATCAGAATGAAAGATTCCCTACATATTTCTTAACATGTGTAAAGTGCAAGTATCTCTTATAAAATTTAATCTGATATAAATTCTATAATTATCACGAGCTTAGAGTAAGCAAGTAGTATGGACTAACCATTTTCAGATTTCTCACATTTCAATTTTTCATGTTTATTAAAATGTCTAACACTGACTTTCTTGTTACTTACTTACATTCTACATTTATTGTGGGGAAATAAAAGCCATTAATGGCTCGTAACCATAAAAGTTTAGCAGCAGGAAAAGTGTGTTGTCCAAAAAGAGCTATATATTACGCATTTAGATAGTACAAAATGACAACTATGCAACTTACTATAAATCTGATTACATATTTGAAATCAGCATAAAAATACATGTACACATCAAAAATATAATTATAAACTTTTTTTTTGAGTAGCATATACCCTTAAATTATAAAGAAAGCCACAGTGGACAAGTGAGGGTTTCTTATAATACAGCTAAATGTAAGTTCGCAAATGTTTTTACATGTAAAACTTGACCAAAATGCTGCCACCGTGTTGAGGGATCAAACCCGTATCCTCTAGCTGGCAGTTCAACATTTTAGCCACTAAGCTACCACAGCAGCTGATGAGATTTGTGAACGCACTGTGATGATCCTTATGCCCTCAAAAAGTATGAAATATCACTTACAAATACCGATGATAACACCATGAACAATTCAGAAAGTTGCACTGTCCTAAATAGCATCTTTGCAAAATGATTTCTTGATCGCAGTGTTGATACATATATGTACAAGTGCAAACAGAATTTATTTCCAATAGATCCGATAGCAGATTTTGCAGGGACTATAAAGTTAATACATGCTGTAAAACTAGCCTCTTCCTGTGGTGCCCCAAAAATTAAAAATATTTGGGAATACTGCTATGTACTCCTTGTCATGAATAAAATAGTAGCCAGTGAATAAAGAAGAAAACTGTGGCATTTGACACTAACGAAGCACAGGACAAAAATAAAAGATAAAAAAGAAAATTCAAGAGAAGTTAAAACGCTAAGTGGGAAGCAGAAGCTGAAAGTATAAATTTAATTGCAATCCTCATCTAAAAGTTGATTGATGACGACAAACAAACGATGATGCCAGGGAAAGTATAGGGGATGTTGCTAGTAGTAATTATAGTGCAGATGTGAAGAAAGAAAAGTGGACGAAAAGGTAACTTGCCATTGGCAGGGGCCAAACCTGCGACATTCGAATAACGCGTTCGATGCTCTACCAAATAAGCTACAGCCGCGGTCATCTCTTCATCTACTTTATGGGGTATATAAGTGCATTTAAATGTGGGAGTATCACTCAGTGCTGCTAGTAGTCGTGACAGCGAGTGTAGAACACTCTTCTAGGGGCAAAGCTCCATAAGGTTGAGGCTTGTCCTTTGGTGTTGTGCACCGTAGCCACTAGTGATGATGATCAAAAACAAGCATGTTCCACACCACACATTCTTTTACAGCGAAAGCTGTTATGAGATCACAACTCGGGTCGCACAGTTGTCCGCTGCCGCTGGTGTCCGTAATCACATCGTGCGAAA